GCTCCGGGGACCGAGGTGGAGGCCCTGCCCCTCGCAGCCTCAGTTCCCTGTGTGCACCCCAAAGGGACTGAGCGGACATTTGGGGGTCCCGTGCCCTGGATGGTGGTGAGGGAGCACCTGCTGTGCGCAGGCCCTGCCTGCGGGCTGCTGGGAGCCACCGAGGGCCAGGCTGGCCTCCTGGGCGGGCACAGGGCACGTGCCCTCTGTGCCCCCTGCAGTCACTTCCCTCGGGGCTGTCACAACCAGGCCCGCCTCACAGGACCTGGAGAGGTTGCCCTCAGGGCACACGGGAAGGAAGCCCTTTGCTTGCTAGGGTGGCCAGAGGGTACGGGGACGCCCGTGCCCAGCTCTGCGTGCGGGCCTCTGACTCTCCTGAGGCTGTTCTGGCTGAAGGTGCCGCCTGGTGCTTTCAGGATGGGTGCTGCCAGCATTTATTTATTATTTATTATTATTATTATTACTATTATTAATGCTGTTATTGTTAAATGCATGCCGCCTCCTTCTTCATTACAATTCTCAAGGGAGGCATTATCCCCATTTCGCTGATGAGCAAACTGAGGCCAAGTAAGGGAAGCCCCTGGCCCAAGTCTTTCAGGCTCCCTCTGGCCTGTGACTGGGAGGCCTGCCAGGGTCTTCCCCTGGAGGGTGGGGAGCATGGATCTTGAGGGGTCTCGCCCTGTGTGTCGAGAGTGAGAAGGCATCTCTGGGTGTGAGCTGGGAGTGGAAGTTGCAGTTTCCACCCCGGTCCCAGCAGCCGTACACCCCTGTTTTGAGGGACCCTGGGTGGGGGTTCTGCTCTCTGGAGGGACAGCCCACTGGGTGGGGCTTCCTGGCAGCGGCATCAGCCCCCATGCTCAGGACCCTCACTCACTCACTGATTTTACTCACTAAGTCTCCGTAGTTCGGGACCCGCTGCGGGCGTGCACGGAATCACTGCTCTCTGGCTGTGGGATCGGGCACTTCCCATCTCTGAGCCTCAGCTTGCTCACCCCTTAAATGGGTGCATAGGGCGGCTGAGAACTTGAGGGGGTCTGGGCCTGTCCAGGGCTGCTGTGGGGTCCTTGGGGAGGTCATTCTCTGAATTGTGGGTGTCCTCCCCGGTCTAGGAACTCAGAACAGGAGTAGGGGTTCAGGCCATGAGCCCCCCTCAGTGGCCTTGGGAGAGGAGGTGCCTGCTCCCCACGGAGCCTCAGCTTCCACCTGTAGAGGGGGAGGACTGTACCCGCCTTGGGGCTGAGCGCCAGCCCTGCCCGTGGGCGAGGGTCCCACTGGGTGTGCCCGAGTGGACCCAGGCCCATCCTGAGCCAGGGGGCGGGCGGGCGCCCGTGTCCGCTCCTCCCGGTGGGGAGAGACCGGAGGTGGGCCCGGCGGTGGCCTGGCGGCCGCCTGACAGCCCCCTTCTCTCTGCAGGCGAGGCCTTCCTGGGCGGCTTTGTGGCCAGCGGGGTGGGGCCCTCGGCCTCATCCCATGGGAGCCCGGTGCCCCTGCCCTCTGACCTCTCCTTCCGCTCCCCCACCCCCAGCAGCCTGCCCATGGTGCAGCTGTGGGCCGCCCATGCCCACGAAGGTAAGGAGTGTCTGGCGGGTGGGTGTGGGCTGCTGGGCTGCATCCCCGGCACTTCCCGAGTCAGCCCACCCCTCCTCCTTCAGGGTCACCCCTCCTGGCTGTGGCCGTGGCTGGTGGGGCTCAGCCATGTCCCTGGCGCCCCGGCTGTTTTTAGACGCTTGGTGCTTCCTCTTGTCACGGTCACACGGCCTTTGCACACGCGGTTGGTTCCCTTGCTTGCAAACATCCCCCCCCCCCGCTTCTCCTGTTCATCCTTCAGGCCCATCGCCTCTCACTTGTGACTGCAGATTTCTGTGTGTGTTCATTTATAATTGCGGGACCAGAGGCCCTGGGTGCTCTTGTCGCAGTTCTGCTGTGATGCCCCTAATCATGGGGGATCTGTTTGTTTGGCTTCCTGCCGCCCGAGCAAATCTGCATCTCCCTGGAGCCTCAGTTTCCCGTCAGTGAAGGGATGGGTCTGGGGACTCCGTGCTCCTCCCCCTCCTCCTGCCTCCAGGTGCCCTGTGCTGCTCCTGGTGCTGGAAGATTAGAGTCCCGGGAGCACCCCCTGTAGGCTGAGTCCACAGCCGCCCCATATCCTCTCTGCCAGAGCGTCAGCGAGCGCGCCTGCCATCGCCCCCATCCTGTGTGCCCTGCACAGAGGGGTGGTCCTGACTCTAGGCCTGGGGTGGCGGGCATCCTGCTGGGCAGGGGTCCCATCTGAGTCCATAGTAGCCCCCCAGTAGCTGCCTCTGGGGCCTGTGTGCTGTCAGCCCCTCTGCCCTCCCTGACACTCCTTTGCCAACAAGTACTAGTAATAATAACGATAACAATAGGGTGCCAGGCGCTGCATACGACTCACTTTATCCTCAGAGCCAGCTGGGAGGTGAGGACATTGTACCCATTTTACAGATTAGGAAACGGAGTGACTGATCCCTACGTAGAAGCATAGCTTCAGCGATTCAGTGAGAGCTTCTATGTGGAGGAGGGGGGTGTCTTGATTATTTAGTGATTTTGGTTAATGTCGTTATCAGATGATGGCGCTGTGGGAGAAGCTCTGCGTCCCTGGCACAGGGGACCCAAGGCCCTCAGGGATGTCCAGTGCCTGTGGTCCTCCAGGACCCACGGCCTCGGCAGAGTGTCAGGACCCTCCCTGTGCCCAGTGCCCTGCGTGGCCTCTGAGCCTCCATGCCCTGTGCGCCCTCAGGCATCTGTTTCTCCCTCCGTGGCTACCTCTCCTGTCTTCGCTGTCCGGCGAGGCTCTGATTCTGGCCATCTCGGGCGGGGGGGGGTCTGGGGAGAGGCTGGGTGAGCTCTCGGCAGGAGTAATTCCTTCCTGGCGGCAGAGATATTGGGTGAGCTGAGTTCAGGGAAAGCTAGTGACCTGCTCAGGGTCCCACAGCAGGGAAGGCGCCAACGAACCAGTTGAACCTGGTCTGTGTTGGGTAGAGATTAGGAGTCCTGGTGACCTCAGTTCAAAGCCAGGTCCCTCTGTGTGTGACCTTGGGCAGTGGTCATCTCCCAGCCTCAGTTTTCTCATCTGTGAAGTGGGGGTATTGAGAGTATCACTTTTCTGAGATTTAAATGAGAATAACAAAGGCAAAGCAGTTGAAAGTGCTTGCCAGCTCCTCATTGCTCCTCTCTGGGTCCATCGGATCCTTTTCCCCATGGACTTGAGAGCCAGGTCCGCGCAGGCCGCCGGGACTGGAGGGAGGGAGGCCTGAGCCCCTGGGTTGGGAGGGGCAAGCTGCACCCTGGGGAGCGGGTGTTGCCCCTCAGGCTCCGTGCACGGGGCGGCGGCCCAGGGAGAGGGAGCTCCCCGAGGAGGCACGAGGTGGTCCAGCCCCGCTTCTCTTCTCTCCTCCAGGCTTCTCCCACCTGCCCAGCGGGCTGTACCCATCCTACCTCCACCTGAACCACCTGGAGCCCCCCAGCAGCGGGAGCCCCCTCCTCAGCCAGCTGGGTCAGCCCAGCATTTTCGATTCACAGAAAGGTCAGGAGGCAGTGGGGAATGGGGGCTGTGCGTGCGAGGGCCTTCTGAAGGGTTTCTCTGGGGCCCCCGGTATTGGACCACGGCCCAGTCAGGATTCCAGGCAGCACCCCTCCCCTAAGGACCCCACAGGCTCGCT